TCAGATTTACAGCATGTTATAGAAGCATGTGAAATACTTGTACTGTTTCTTCAGTTGGAAAAAAAAAACCTTCAGATTTTATTTCTTAAGGGGAAGCTCCAGAAATAGGTGAATTTCAGAAGAATCTCAAAGCAGTTAACAATAGCTAGAAATACCTGTTTTATTTGTGTGTCTTCTGTTTTGTGTATTTTAAGCATTCTTTTTTCTATGTAAAAAGTGTCTGTAAGAAAAAGTCCTGATTTTTCTCCACTTAAAAACACACAAAACACCCCATTTCATGATGAAAATGGATAGCAAAGTCTGAGTTAGCAGTCCTACTTGGTAGCTGTAGTTGAATTTTGTTTTGTGTTTCTTTTTTAATTTGACCAAGCACTCAACTGCAGTTGGCACACCAGTGATTAAATATGTATTAAAATTCACTGCCATGCAAGAGTTACTGATTTATTCAACTGAATAGGTAAAAAACAAACAAAAAACAATCAAAAAACCCACAAACCACAAAGCCTCAATTATTAGGCATGCCTAGAGACCACTGACTTGTTCTTTCAAAATATTCTGAAAGGTGTTCTGAATCAAGACTGTACAAATCAATGATCCATAAACCGAACTTGATTCTACTGTAATATTTCAGTACATACTTTTTTGCCTTAATTCAAACCATGAAACAACTCATACCAAAAGTAAATCACATCTGTAAATTATTAGACCAACATTTTCCTGTCTGTCCTTAACTGTGTTCTTCAACTGAAAATAAATTTTCCTTGAATTTCTGTAAATTATTTTCAAGTATGATAGTATTAGAGATTTACGTCAGTGCTTTCACTGTGGTTTGCACAGTAAAACAACACCGATTCAGGAAAGTAAGAAAGATAACTGGAATTTTGTTTTTCCAGAGCATGTTCAACATTGTACTACAGCAATGATGTAGCGAACTCTTTGTTCTTTATAATGATTAATAGTTCAATTTTATAGATTTGGGTACTGTAATTAATGCTAATTGCAAGAGATTGGAAGTAGGTATTGGTACTCAGTGACCAACCTATGTTGAACTAAATGAAGTAAACAAAAGTGACTGTTCATGTGAAAACATTGTCAGAAATGTGCGTAGTGGTGGTGGTGAACAGTCTGATTATGTACAGATGCAGGAGGACACTTCACAGATGGTCAGAAAAAACATAGACCAAAATTAGCAAATCCAGCAGTTCAGAGCAGCTGTCTCTATTTAGGAACCTACATAAACTATGGGTGCTAGCATCTCCAAAATGCATGCATTATATTAGCCTAGATCAGACTGGAGCTTGAGATCTGTCTGCCTGCACTCTTTTCTTAATAGTACAGCCCAAAATCTAGGGTCTGTTACTTAATACTACAGCCAAAAATCTAGGTTTTTGTACAGATGCTCAAGAAGCCTTTTAAGTGGAGAAAAAACACATCCCTTGAATAAGACACATGAGAAAGTTTGCAAAAAAGACTGTTTGCTGCTGTTATGTCTTCTCATTTGCACTTGTCCTCAGGCCATCACTTTTCCATCGTTATCTGGGCAATGTCCTCTGCAGCTCACCCAGAAAAGTGTTGTGGCAGTCAGGAGCCGTGCTGTGTGCTGCTCCCTGTGTGTTACAGCAGGCTGTTCCTTTGGCTGCCCTGCAGACCAACTGCAAGCTCACTAGCTCACTCTTTCTCCTCTTGCTTTCTCTCACCTGACACTATTTAAGGTTTGCCAAGCTCTCTTCTGTAGGAAAATAAGGGCAGTAAATTGTTTAAACTCTGCATTATCTAGGGTAGCATCAGAAATGGTGAATACAGAAAAAATCCGCTCTGGTGGACTGATCCGACCAGCCGGAGGTTTCAAAGTGTAAATTTTCCAGTCTTGCAGATATGGCAGAAAAAACCCCAACAGCATACAGAAAGTTTATCTGTGACATGTTTCCAGTCACTACTAAGGTATAGAACTAGAAGGTCATTAATCTTTTTTTTTATTATAATTTTTAAGTCTAAAAGAGAAAAAAAATGTGATTTCCCTGAGCTCATATTGGACCTGAGTTAAATTGCCTGACTGGAATTAAAGGAAATTTGTACCTGGGGTAGAAGTCCAAAGTGAAAATAACAATTAAAGTAATTAAGACTGGGAGCTTCTAAAAACAGGGCCTTATAATTGGAAGTGTTGAATGCTTCTAAACCAGGCATTTCTTCCACTCTCAAGGACTGGAAATTCAGTTAATATCAGGTCTGCTCTTTCATTCACGCAGTCCTGACAGTTCACATGGCATGTGAAAACAGATTAACAACATTCTAGATGTAATGTTGGGCATAGGTGTATATGCACACATTTCAAACATACTGCCTTATTCTACACAGTGCTCAACTGGAGAGTATCTAACTGAAACTATATAATAGTAAGCAAATACATAGGAAGCTGGATATTTCTCATGTATTTGTCTTGTTTGCAGCTGTAACTTAATAGGAATGCTTTTGATTACCGTGATGACAAGCAAATAATATTTTGGCATATCAGTAAACACTTGGCTACACATCTGTCTGTGTCAAATAGACACAGATACTTGTAGGGTAAGGTATTGCAATGTTGAGAAGGATTTTATTGTACGCATCAGATAATATCCTCTCACTTTCTTCCCATCTTTCTGTCTTTTCTACTGTCAACCTGTCAGCTGAAGTGTGGGTTTCAAGGATTATGTTGCTATTAAATCCTGCTAGAGTAGGTGCTAACACAATACAGTGGTCACGTCCCACTGACAAAAGACATTTTCTGGAAGTACATTCATTCATATTCCTCAGGTCACTGAACTTGGACACGAGATTTGGCACTGATTGTGTTAGATGAGCGTCTGACATCCTAGCTGATGTATGTTAGAAACTTCTAGTGTTGAACCTGTGTGATCTCAGGTGCCGTGGCAGGCATACTTCTGAGCAAAAACTGCTATGGCTCTTGCCTTGTAATTAAAGGCAATGTTAAACAGATTTTTGTGAAAGCCTTTAAAATTATACAGAGCATAACTGCCTGTTTCAGAAATGCAAGCCTTGGCAAAGTTAAAAAAAGTTTTCCACACACTTTCTTTAGTGACTATTGAACAAGACCTTATTCACATCTTCCCTGTGATAGGGGGAAACATGCTGTTTAAAAAATATTATTAACTCACTCCTGAGTTCATGTATTTTTCATTCATTACAGCCTCGATTGACATTCAAGCTAGGGAATTTTTTGAGGAATGCTGTGGAAGTTCTCATCTAAAAGAAAAAGAAAATATTTAAAAAATAGACCAAACTTAAATGGAGAAGAGACCTAAACAAAATCTAGCCTTATTGATGTTGGAAAGGAAAGAGTTGGTTACTGATTGAAATAGGACCCACATAAAGTAGGTTTTAAAAATTCAAGATTGTTTTGGGTTCCCTAGGCCAGATTATTTCTTAAGCATATAATTTCAATTAAGCTTCTGGGAACAAAATTTCTTTGATGACCTGAAGGGAAGTACAAGCATTAGAATTAGCATTAATTATAATTTATTATAATATGCATATTATAACATTATCACATGCATATTATATTTATATAACCAACAATAATTTACATTATATGTTCTATATTAGTATATAGCAATATAACATATAAATTATCACAGTATCACAGTATCACAGTATGCTAGAGATTGGAAGGGACCTCGAAAGTTCATCTAGTCCAATCCCCCTGCCGGAGCAGGAACACCTAGATAATGTTACACAGGAATGTGTCCAGGCGGGTTTTGAATGTCTCCAGGGAAGGAGACTCCACAACCTCCCTGGGCAGCCTGTTCCAGTGTTCCGTCACCCTCACTGAGAAGAAGTTTCTTCTCAAGTTTAAGTGGAACCTCTTGTGTTCCAGTTTGTACCCATTACCCCTTGTCCTATCATTGTTTGCCACTCAGTAGAGCCTGGCTCCATCCTCATGACACTCCCCCTTTATATATTTATAGACACTAATAAGGTCACCCCTCAGTCTCCTCTAAACTATAGAGACCCAGCTCCCTCAGTCTTTCCTCATAAGGGAGATGCTCCACTCCCTTAATCATCTTAGTTGCCCTGCGCTGGACTCTCTCCAGCAGCTCCCTGTCTTTCTTGAACTGAGGGGCCCAGAACTGGACACAATATTCCAGATGGGGTCTCACCAGGGCAGAGTAGAGGGGAAGGAGGACCTCCCTCGACCTACTAACCACCACCCTTCTAATACACCCCAGGGTGCCATTGGCCTTCTTAGCCACGAGGGCACAGTGTTGGCTCATGGTCATCCTGTCGTCCACTAGGACCCCCAGGTCCCTCTCCCCTACACTGCTCTCTGACAGGTTGTTCCCCAACCTATACTGGAACCTGGGGTTGTTCCTGCCCAGATGCAGGACTCTACACTTTCCCTTGTTATATTTCATCAAGTTATTCCCTGCCCAACTCTCCAGCCTGTCCAGGTCTCGCTGGATGGCAGCACAGCCTTCTGGCGTGTCAGCCACTCCTCCCAGCTTAGTGTCAGCAGCAAACTTGCTGATAGTACACTCGATTCCCTCATCTAAATCGTTGATGAATATATTAAATTATAACACATGGTATTTATATAGCACCCATAATTTATATTTATATATAAAAGTTATATTGCTGCATATGTCCACCCACAATCTATATTATATTTAAGCAGTATATTCTGTTATATTAAATATAAAATATCCTTATATTGTGTGTTGCATCAAGAATTGTATTCTTTTTATATATATATTAATATGCATTATGTAGATATGTAGATAGATACAGATATTTTAAAATTAGTTATAATGCAGCTGTTAAATAAAAAACAAGTATGTGGTTTGTTTATTTCTTATTATTTAGGAAAACTAATGCTGAAACTATTCAGAACTATTTCAAAGCTCCTAATTATGAGTGAGGACAAGTAAAGACCAGCATTTATCATGTCAAGTTTTTTGATGATAATTTCTTTCATTTAGGTGAGTGAATGAGTAAATACATTACATTCAAACTCTGCTTGGTTCAATGAGAATAAACAGGATAGGGCATAAACCAGGAGCTGATTTCTAAGCATCTTCTGAAATAATCATCTGAAATAACTATTTTCACTATGGAAAATAATCTTACATGTCTGATTACTGTTACAGCTATTGCAGAAGAATCCGAAGGAAGAAATGAAGAAATCCCTTGAAATTCACCACGGAGATTTTGATTCTATGCAGAGAAAATGAATTAAGCTTCATTTCGTGGTTACTACTTCAGGTAACTATTAGGGAGAGTGGTAGTTCTTCAAACTGAAAAAAAAAAAAAAAACAGTTTGCAAATTTGGGGATGTTTTTAGTTATGCCCAGAACAAGTTGGTAGAAGCTCACAGTCTTACAACTTTTCAGAGTTGTAATGAAAATGAAGAAAACTTACTTTGCAGAGCAAGCAGTACCTTTAAAGGAAATAGCATTCATAACAGTTATCCTGGATTTGGTGCTATGATACTTTTTTCCCCCCAAAGGAGAAGATTCCCAATTCTCTGATTTCAGTAGAAACTTGAGGAGGATTTGGATAATCACATGTGGGCAAGAAAGTGGAGGGTTTACTGTTACAGATTAATATGTATGGCTTTACAGATTTTTAAAAACATTTAAACATCTTAGGTGTTTATATCACTGAATAAAAGAGTTTGGAGATCTTTTAAGTACTAGGGAACCCTCCTCATTTCTCTATTTTTCTTCATTATGGGTCATCAAAAAGAGAACAGGAATTCCTGAGTGTGTATTTCACGTCTTACTAATACAAGCAGCGGAATTTTAAATCTGAACACAGACTAACTTAAAAGTTCAGTGTGGATTTGGCAGGTAGAATTTACCTGCTTTAATCAGGTTTCTAATTTAGGTTCCTAAATTTAACACAAATCAAATATGAGACTCCCACTTTGGCTATAATTCCTTATTAACTTAACTGTTATTTCCAAGACAGAATTTGTTAAGTAATGTTGATAAATAGAATTCATTAATACTCACAAAATAATCCTTGAACTGACCCCTTTTCATCTTAATTCCATTATGTCACTAATGAAGAGGACCAAATAGTTTTAATTAAAAAATGCTTCTTAATCAATGAATAGCACTAAGCTGAATAATGCTTTTACAGCTCTGATAACATTTGTGATTGCTAATAATAAAACATCCATTACTTCTATAATGTTAATACACTCAAACATATGGGCTTTAGGTGATGATAAAATGACCCATTTCTAAGGTTATTCACGTCAGAGTGAAGCCATTATATGTTATTTGAGCAAACTCCTAACACTTGAAAAAAATTCTGTGATGTCATTGCTCTGCAGATGTGACAGACAAAGGCTCACTGCAAGTAATGAAATTATATTGCTTTTACCTTTTCCAATGCAGATGAGATGACTGCCATCTGTAAGAAATTCCCTCATGGCCTAATGCTCAGCTAAATTTAGTGGTGCCAGCTGCGTCTTGTTCTCAGGGTATAATAACTTTAATATCATAGGGCTGTCTTTGATGGGGCAAATGGTACTGCATCAGAAATGAAGTTTACATTGCAAGTTCTTGGTGCACATATGACACCTCTAGATTATAACATCTGTTGAAATAAGTCTGATTTTTTTACTTTGTAGGTTGTTCTGCATTTGCATCTTGCAGTAACCTGAAGGTGCTTTCTTACACCTTTCCACACTTTTTGTCTTCTGATGGACCTGAGCAATCAAAAAGGAGGTTGAAGCTGGGTTTATTTAATGCATAATATGTGAGATCTTATTTCTTATTAATCCTGAATGAAGACATAATGTATTTGTTGGAAATAATGCAGTCATTGCACAGATTGATACATCTGTCTCGTTCCCTTCCTCATTTCCTTCTCCCTCTTTCAAATACCATTTTAAGTAGAAAAAAAATGTGCTTAAAAAAGAAATTAACATCCCCCAGGAAACACAGTGGTTTGAATCATTATGTAGAGAAGAAGAATTCAGTAGCTCAGAAAAGCCTGCCAGAGCAAAACCAAAAAACATTGCTGAGAAAATATTTTTAGTTCCCTGGGTTTGCAAAACTTTCAGAGATCCAAGTTTTAGTTGCTGAGTTAAGAACAGGAAAGGAAAGTAGATTTAGCCAATGACCAGAGAGATTCTCTTTTTTTAATGGCTGAAATGCAAAAGAATGAGATTGGATCCATTTTATTGAGTTGTTTCGCCTTTTATTTTCACAACTAAAAGCAAGGAAAATAATTTAGACAGTGACTTGAGAAGAAGTATTTGTTTTGTCAAATTGATATAGCTTTGCTCCTTCTAGCAGTCAGCCAGGTAAGGAGAATGCTGCATCATGGCAACAAGGAAAAACCGTGTGTTGCTCATCTCATAGTAGTTGGTAATGGTGGTATCAGCAGTTCAATGCCCTTTTCAGAATATGCAGTTCTTAACAAGAACATTTCATTTGAAGTCTGCAAAATGGTTTATTCACTCGGGAGTCTGACAAGACATAGCATGTGTCCTGGGTTCAGCAGTAGCAGTCATGTTTCTCCTTCGTGGTAGCTGGTGCAGTGCTGTGTTTTGACTTCCAGCCTGGGAACAGTGTTGGTGAAGCCGATGTTTTCAGTTGTTGCTAAGTGATGTTTACCCTGACCAAGGACCCTGTGAGGCTCATGCTCTGCCAGGGAGGAGGAGAGGCCGTGGGGAGACAGGGATGGGGCGCCTGACCCAGGCTAGCCAAAGAGGTATTCCATACCACAGCACATCATGGCCAGGGTGGGGGGTAACTGGGAGTTATCCAGAAGGACATGGGCTTCCGGGTGGGACTCGTTTCTTGGCCGGTGGTATTGTATTCTCTTCCCTTGTTATTTTCTCTTATCGTTGTTGTTGGTGGTAGCAGTGGTGATTTGTGTTGTACATTGGTTGCTGGACTGTTCTTGTCTCAGCCTGTAGCAGTTGCACCCTTTCGATCCTCCTCCCCGTTCCTCTGGGAGCAGGGAAGGGGAGAGCCCCGGTGGGGGGGGGAGGGGGGCCTCGATTATTGTCAGCCCGGCACCACTCACTGGGAGTGAGTGAACAAGTTGCCTGACGGGTTTTAAACCACGACAGTTCTTTTTGGTGCCCAACGTGGGGCACGAGGGGTTCAGATAACAACAGTTCTGACTGGATTAATAGTCACTCATCACAATGCTGATTTATTGTCTCTCAAGATTTTTCCTCTTGATCTCACAATTTCAGTATATTGTATCTTATTTCCATCCGGTATTTGCTGTATTAGAGTTTTTCAAGTGTGGGGCTTGGCCTAAGGTTTTTGTCTCATTGTACTTTATGGTAATGACTTGTAATACAATAGAATCATTGATCATGAAACTGATCTGGCTTATGTTCCCAGTGTGGTCACCACCTTTATACTTTGGGAGGTATATAATAGAAGTGCTTAGCAATTACACATCTTTTTTCTCCTTCTCAGGTGCTCAACCTGTGAAGGAGACATCCTTTTACCCTCCCAGTCATCCCCCCAGACCATTTACATTTGAGAGTTTTGAAGTTTTTGAATGGCCTTTTAATGCTGTTGAGACTTGTTTGCTGATCGTGATGGGAATCACCATGCTAGCACGCATACAGAGTGTGTTTTGCCCACAACTGATTTCAAGAGTTAAGCCGAGTCAGGTTTGGGTCTTGTCTGGGGTCAAACGACGATGCAGGAGGACCAAGAGATTTTCCCTGAGGCTGGAGAGCCATGAGTGGCAGGGTGTGTGGGATAGTATGGGCAAGTATCTAGGTCAGTGGGCCCCTCCAGTACTTTGGAATTTCACTACCGAACAACTGCAAAATCCAGAAGAATTAGTAAAACACTTAAATGAGGTGTGTGGTCATTCTGGCCATACCAGAGATGGACAAATCACGGCAACGTGCTGGGGCTTGGCCTATGCTTACAGGGCCTTGTTCAACACTATCCAGCACCTTCAAAAGGAAAAGAATGTCGGCGGATCTAAGGGCAAAGCAACAGTCGCTACTCAAACTTTGGCTGCAATGAACAGCACAGCTACCCCAGTGGCAAGTACAGCAGCTGCTCAAACTTTGACTGCAACAGACAGCGCGGTTACCCCAGCTCCAAGCACAGCAGCTGCACCACCCCCAGCAACAAGTACAGTTGCTACTCAAACCACAGTGATAATCACTGCAGCCAAACCAGAGGACCAATTCGTACCAATATCGGTTGCCCCTGTACACAAGAGAACAAGCAAAAAAGAGGCAAGAAGGGTGAAGCGAGATGAAGAAACAATGAATTCACCACCCGGTCCAGAATCTGATCAGGAGTCATCATCACATGACGAAGAAGAAGAGGTAACTTCTCGACCTCAGACCTCAACCGAGCTGCGGAATATGCAAAAAGATTTTACCCATCAACCAGGGGAGCACATCATCACCTGGTTACTCCGATGCTGGGACAATGGGGCCGATGGTCATGAACTAGAAGGTACAGAAGCCAAGCAGCTGGGATCACTTGCTAGAGAAGGGGGAATTGACAAAGCAATCACAAGAGAGAAAAAGTCCCTCAGCTTTTGGAGGCGGCTCTTGGCAGCTGTGAAAGAAAGGTTTCCATACAAGGACGATGTTGTGAGTCGTTCGGCCAAGCGGACTACTATAGACAAAGGCATCCAGTCTCTGAGGGAATCAGCCATCGTAGAGATGATCTATCACATCAAGCCGAATAATGGGGATACAGCCATAGATGCAGACGAAGTTGAATGTACAGGACCCATGTGGCAAAAACTTACACGGAATGCACCGTCATCATATGCCCATTCATTGGCAACAGTAACCTGGAATGACATAGTACCACTAACAGTAGATGAAATGGTTCATAAACTCCGAGAGTTAGAAGACAATCTCACCCCTTCCATCATCTCAGCTGTGGAAAAACTGTCCCAGGACCTCAAACAATTGAGGGATGATCTATCTGATTTATCCAGCTCCTCACGTGTACCAACACACGTCTCAGCTATTAACAAAAGGCGTCCTATTGTTCGAGAGAGGAGGTATACGCCACGGGGTACCCTATGGTTTTACCTGCAGGATCACGGAGAAGACATGACAAAGTGGGATGGAAAACCTACTTCAGCTTTGGAGGAATGGGTGAGTGAACTAAAGAGGGGAGCAAGGGCCAAGACTGATCATCCCATGAGAGCTACGGCTTCAGTCTCTGGTGAGCAGTTTCCCAGGTGGAGTGGAAGAGCTGATTTTACTCCAGCTCCTGTGATAATGAAGAATAATCCCTTTTACCATGACTTAAGTGTCCAACGCTGTGATGACCATTAGAGGGGCCCTGCCTCCAGCCAGGTGGAGGTAGGGGACAATCAGATTTACTGGACTGTGTGGATCAGATGGCCTGACACATCAGTCCCACAGAAGTATAAGGCTCTAGTAGATACTGGTGCACAGTGTACCCTGATGCCATCAAGCTGTCAAGGGGTGGAACGCATCTATATTTCTGGAGTGACAGGAGGATCCCAAGAGTTGACTGTGCTGGAGGCTGAAATCAGCCTGACTGGGAGGGAATGGCAAAAGCACCCTATTGTGACTGGTCCAGAGGCTTCATGCATCCTCGGCATAGACTACCTCAAGAGAGGGTACTTCAAAGACCCAAAAGGGTACCGGTGGGCTTTTGGTATTGCTGCTTTGGAGACAGAGGAAATAGAGCAACTGTCTACCTTGCCTGGTCTCTCAGAAGATCCCTCTGCTGTGGGGTTGCTGAAAGTTGAAGAACAACAAGGGCCAATTGCGACCACAACAGTGCACCGGCGGCAATATCGCACCAACCGAGACTCCCTGATTCCCATCCATCAGCTGATCCGTAGACTGGAGAGTCAGGGGGTGATCAGCAGGACCCGCTCGCCCTTTAATAGCCCCATATGGCCAGTGCGAAAGTCTAATGGAGAATGGAGACTAACAGTAGACTATTGTGGCCTGAATGAAGTCACACCACCATTGAGTGCTGCCGTACCGGACATGCTAGAACTTCAGTATGAACTAGAGTCAAAGGCAGCCAAGTGGTATGCCACGATTGATATTGCCAATGCATTTTTCTCCATTCCTTTGGCAGCAGAGTGCAGGCCACAGTTTGCTTTTACTTGAAGGGGTGTCCAGTTCACTTGGAACCGACTGCCCCAGAGGTGGAAACACAGCCCTACCATTTGCCATGGACTGATCCAGACTGCCCTGGAACAGGGGCAAGCTCCAGAACACCTGCAGTACATTGATGACATTATTGTGTGGGGCGATACAGCAGAAGAAGTCTTTGAGAAAGGGAGGAAAATAATCCAAATCCTGCTGAAAGCTGGTTTTGCCATAAAGCGGAGTAAGGTCAAGGGACCTGCACAGGAGATTCAATTTTTGGGAATAAAATGGCAAGATGGACGTAGACAGATCCCCACAGATGTGATCAACAAGATAACAGCAATGTCTCCACCAACTAATAAGAAAGAAACGCAAGCTTTCTTGGGTGCAGTGGGGTTCTGGAGAATGCACATCCCAAATTACAGTTCGATTGTAAGCCCTCTCTATCACGGGACCCGGAAGAAGAATGATTTTAAATGGGGCCCTGAGCAACAACAAGCCTTTGAGCAAATTAAACGCGAGATAGTTCATGCAGTAGCCCTTGGACCTGTCCGGACCGGGCCAGATGTAAAAAATGTACTGTACGCTGCAGCTGGGGAGAACGGTCCTACCTGGAGCCTCTGGCAGAAAGCTCCAGGGGAGACTCGAGGTCGACCCCTCGGCTTTTGGAGTCAGGGATACAAAGGATCTGAGGCCAGCTATACCCCAACTGAGAAAGAGATACTGGCAGCCTATGAAGGGGTTCGAGCTGCTTCGGAAGTGATTAGCACTGAAGCACAGCTCCTTCTGGCACCCCGGTTGCCCGTGCTGGGCTGGATGTTCAAAGGCAGGGTCTCCTCTACACATCATGCAACTGATGCTACATGGAGTAAATGGGCTGCACTAATTACACAATGAACTCGAATAGGAAATCTCAGTCGTCCAGGCATTCTAGAAGTCATCATGGACTGGCCAGAGGGCAAAGATTTCGAATGTCACCAGAGGAGGAGGTGGTGCGTGCTGAAGAGTCCTCACCATATAATAAACTGTCAGAAAGTGAAAAGCAGTATGCCTTGTTTACTGATGGGTCCTGCCACATTGTGGGAAAGCATCGGAGATGGAAGGCAGCTGTATGGAATCCTGGAGGACAAGTTGCAGAAACTGCTGAAGGAGAGGGTGAATCGAGTCAGTTTGCCGAGGTGAAAGCCATCCAGCTGGCCCTGGACATTGCTGAACGAGAAAAGTGGCCAGTACTTTACCTCTATACTGACTCATGGATGGTGGCAAATGCCCTGTGGGGGTGGTTGAAGCAATGGAAGCAGAGCAACTGGCAACGCAGAGGTAAACCCATCTGGGCTGCTGCACTGTGGAAAGATATTGCTGCCCGGGTGCAGAACCTGGTGGTGAAGGTACGTCATGTAGATGCCCATGTACCCAAGAGTCGGGCCACTGAGGAACACCAGAACAAGCAACAAGTGGATAAAGCGGCTAAGATTGAAGTGGCTCAGATGGACTTAGATTGGCAACATAAAGGTGAATTATTTTTGTCCCGGTGGGCCCATGACACTTCAGGCCATCAGGGCAGAGATGCAACATATAGATGGGCTCATGATCGAGGGGTGGACTTAACAATGGACACTATTGCCCAGGTTATTCATGAGTGTGAAACATGTGCTGCAATTAAACAAGCCAAGCAGTTAAAGCCTCTTTGGTATGGAGGACGATGGTTGAAGTATAAATATGGGGAGGCCTGGCAGATTGACTAGATCACTCTGCCGACATCCCGCCAAGGCAAGCACCATGTGCTTACCATGGTGGAAGCAACCACCGGGTGGCTGGAAACATACGCTGTGCCCCATGCCACTGCCCGGAACACTATCCTGGGCCTTGAGAAACAGATTTTGTGGCGACACGGCACCCCAGAGAGAATTGAGTCAAGACAATGGGACTCATTTCCGGAATAACCTTATAGATAGTTGGGCCAAAGAGCATGGCATTGAGTGGGTATATCACATCCCCTACCACGCACCAGCCTCTGGGAAAATCGAACGGTACAATGGGCTGTTAAAAAGCTACATTGAGAGCAATGGGTGGGGGAACTTTCAAGCATTGGGATACACACTTACCAAAGGCCACCTGGTTGTTCAACACCAGAGGATCTGCCAACAGGGCTGGCCCAGCCCAGTCAGAACTTTTACATATTGTAGAGGGGGACAAAGTTCCCGTGGTGCATATGAAGAATTTGCTGGGGAAGACAGTCTGGGTTATTCCTGCTTCAGGTAAAGGCAAACCCACTAGCGAGATTGCTTTTGCTCAGGGACCTGGATATACTTGGTGGTTAATGGGGGAAGATGGGGAAGTCCGATGTATACCTCAAGGGGATTTGATTTTAGGGGAAAACAGCCAGTGAACTCAATTGTATGCTGTTGCCTGCTGTGTAATACTTTTATAGCTGATCAACTAGATGTCTCCAGGTCACCAGCGACTAGCCCTGACTTCCCTCCAGCCATCATCCCAACAGAGAATGAACTTTGATAGAACCGGATGAGTTCCGCAGTAAAGGAACAACCAACATCAGCAGGCAACGATCCAATACTGCACACGGCCTTTCCTGCCCTGAAAGATTGTTACAACAGATGGAACCTGACATCATGGACCAAATGGACTCAGCAGCATTATAGGGATTGGTCCTTGCCCTAAGAAAATGATCTTTTTCTCTTGGTCTGTGTGTATATGGATGTATATATGTGGGAGAGCGATGGTGTATTGAAAATGTGGGATCTGAGCATGACGTGAATGGTATGGAATAAGGGGTGGATAATGTCCTGGGTTCAGCAGTAGCAGTCATGTTTCTCCTTTGTGGTAGCTGGTGCAGTGCTGTGTTTTGACTTCCAGCCTGGGAGCAATGTTGGTGATACCGATGTTTCCGGTTGTTGCTATGTGATGTTTACACTGACCAAGGACTCTATGAGGCTCATGCTCTGCCAGGGAGGAGGGGAGGCCATGAGGAAGCAGAGGCGGGGCACCTGACCTGGGCTAGCCAGGGGGGTATTCCATACCGCAGCACATCATGCCCGGGGTGGGGGGTAACTGGGAGTTACCCAGAAGGACACGGGCTTCCGGGTGGGACTCGTTTCTTGGCCGGTGGTATTGTATTCTCTTCCCTTGTTATTTTCTCTTTTCATTGTTGTCGTTGGTGGTAGCAGTGGTGATTTGTGTTGTACGTTGGTTGCTGGACTGTTCTTGTCTCAGCCCGTAGCAGTTGCACCCTTTCGATCCTCCTCCCCGTTCCTCTGGGAGCAGGGAAGGGGAGAGCCCCGGTGGGGGGGGGAGGGGGGCCTCGATTGTTGTCAGCCCGGCACCACTTACTGGGAGTGAGTGAACAAGTTGCCTGACTGGTTTTAAACCACGACAGCATGAAAGATTCAACTACCCTTATAATTACATAACTGTAATGACAGATTAATTCATGGTGCCAAAGAGAGGGGGTTTGTACATCTTTCAGTGTTAATGTATTTACCATATTCCACAAAGGTAGAAGGACTTTTGAAAAGAACTTTGAAACAGAAGTGTAGATACATAGAGGTAAGTTTATAGTCATCTCTTTTATAGTTTGTGGTCTTTTTTAATTCATAAATACATTCTTTAAGTCGTGCACACATCTAACCACCAAATCTTCCACACTTCATATAGTGGAAGCAGAGATACATATGCCCAGAGCATGTTGCTATGGGGGGGGGGGGGGGTGTGTGTATATGTATATATAAATATGCTAATACACTGACCATGTCCATGGCAAATACATCTTATTCCCCACTATAGGACACAGGAGCCTTAGTCATATACTGAAAACTTATTTTGCTGCAGGGAGTACCTAAACAAAATAAGAAAGAGGTGTCCCCACCACAAATGTGTTTTGCAAGATGGTGTTTGTTGCATGTCTGTAGGCAGAATTAGACCTTTCAGCAGCCTTGTGAAGTCCAGATAAAAAGGAAGAAGGAGGATGTTTTGTCTTGGGATTTTTCCTGATTCTTTTTTCTTAAAGAAAGGGTGGACAATGCACAAAAAAAAAAACAAAAAAACACCACAGGGTTTGAGAGAGGAATCAGCTTTTTTGCTGATTTTGGGGTTTTGGGTTTCTTTTGAGTTTGGGGTTTTGTTTTTTTGTTCTTTTTTTCCTAGGGAAGTTCACTGTTTTCAGTGATAAGAGTTGGAAACCTTATGAAAAGTCTTGTGAAGGATACACCTGGGATATGTTAGTTGGGAAGCAGTAAGTTTGACAGTAATAGTCATTTTGTCAGTTGCACAGCAAAAATATAAATCTTGGGGAGTGTGCTGCAAGAGGGGGGAATACAGAGAAGACAAGAAAAAAATCAAAACAAGAAATCCATCTCTGCATGTGGTAAAAAGAATGTCACAGGCTTCTAGTCTGATGCTTATTATTGGTGTTCAATGAGACACTAAAAATGTGTCAAAGTATGAGCAGTGTCTCCATATTCATTCTGCATGTTTGAAGAACATATTTGGTGTTTCTTACACGTTTCTCAATCTGCAAAAGAGCCACAAGGTGATTCCCACCATCATTTCCAAGTACGTATGTACAGGAGAAGCAGCTCCCCTGCCATTTTTCAAGGTGGTTTTAGGCACACCCTGCTTCTTTATCTTTCATCACATATTGTAGTCTGGAAGAACTGTTTTAAATTGATTGCTGTCCTAGCATGTACCTCTCCGAATTAAAGGATGGCTCAGCAGGTGCCCAGCACAGACAGGGTGCTGGCTGCCTTCTGCTTTCCACCAGCCCTGTGCAGGGAAAGAGAGGAGATTACCTGTGGAACCAGCCATATGTTTTTTGGGGGTTAAGACAGTGTGGAAGTCAGCTTGTGACTGATGTTACAATGAAATGTATTAAAAAAATCAAACCTGATAATTCTGAGCACCAGCTTTCTCCTGTCACCATTGCTAGGCATGCATCCTTTGTGCCATTTTGAGCAGAAAAAGGAAAAAAAGCCATGAGATCATAGGTTTCTGGGGAGGGAATAAAAGAAAAGACTTCCTCTCCACTCAGTCTGTTTCTTTTAATTAAAAATGGTTTTAATGTAGGCAGAAGAAAGCAGACACTGTATCCTTACTATTGTTCTAACTGTCAAGGTTGAACAGCTCTAATGCATAATATCTGTAATATCTCATTAATTTAGGACTTGCATTTCTTGGTTTTCTCCTTTCTTTCAGTCTTGTTAATGACAGTCTCATCTATAGAAGCAAAGAATATTCTCAAATAATGGAAAGGAACATCTTTTTTATGTTAATCAAAGGAGTGGAAAAAAGAATAGGAAATTGATGTGCTTTGCACATACCAGCCAGGAGGAAGAGTTTACAGGCAAGTGGGAATTCATACACTCTTCTCTTTCTGATACAAGAGCTTTAATGTTTTGTGGCAGTGAAAGGACCTGGAATTTGTTCTTTCTACTCCCAAAAATGGCATGTTAGGAGGGCTGCACTTGTCTTGGTTTACATGGGATTTACGCAACATTAATAATGGAGTTTTATCATGTCAGCACTTCAGAGTCTATAGTGCTTGGGACTGAATGTGAAATGTTTTGTTCGGGTTTTTTGGTTGTTGATTTTGGGTTTTGTTTTCTTGTGGGTTTTGTTTTTAAGAGAATCTGTGACAACTGCAGTAACAGCCCATCTTGATTATATATTGGGAAATAAGTAATATTTACCCCCGTTTTCCTCTGAGCTCTAGATATAAAAATAGCTGGGTTTCTATAGTACAAATGTTAACAAAATGATGACAGCACCTTATCAGAGAGAACATGCACAGCTGTGGAGATACTCTATTCATTTTCCTGATACGCATATCAAACATTTCACAATTAATGTCTTGGCCAGACTGGCTGGGCCAGCAACACTGACAGGTAAAGGAATTCTGTAAAGATACCTTGCATTTTTCAGGGTTATATTTACTGGACCTACTGTGGGGAGAGAAATGAAGTTTGAAGGGACAGAGAGCTACTATGGATTCTCTTTTCAGCATCCTTTTATCAGAAACTGATAACAGAAGTTCATAATTAAGATACCTTAAAGAAAAGGGCAACAGATTTTTAGATAGCATTTCTCTGGGGAAGTTCCTACATTTTTAGATAATCCTCTGGTTCCAGTTATCAAAGATTTCCTTGAACCTTGAAATAAGAATTAATACTATTTCCAAAGTTCTTGGTTGCCTTGTATCAACAGAAATTTTAATTTGAACTAAATTCCTAGGGAAAAAGAGGATTTTTCTATCGCAGCTCTATTTTGATTTTACTTAGCAGTTTAATTGAATGCAAGAAGAAGAAATCTTGATTCAATTCCACTAATCATTTTGCTTCACAGATAGTCTCTAAACTTTAAACATCTTGAACATATTTGTTTAAATTTTAAATTGTCTATGTGTACATTTCATTAAACATTTGTGCTCCTCTTTTATGAGGTAGGTAGTGAAAAGCTGTTTTCTTGGTAATTTCTTAAAATTAAAAAAAGGGGGGGGGAAGCGAAGAACTGGAGGTGATTTTCCACATTCTTACTTTTCAGCTAAAGCTTTTTAAGTATTTAAAACATGAAAGTATTACTTTTTCTCTCTCTCTTTTTTTTTTCCTTAAGTTTTTTATGCCAGATAAGAAGTGCTCAGTTGCCAGCTATTTAGCTAGTTCTTATGAAATCTGCTTCTTTGTCTCTTGTATATACCTGCTGAAGAGATTTTTGGTCATGTTGGCCAATTTCAGCCAAATTTGCTGGAGGAGTCAAGGACTGTAAGTGCTAGCAAAATAATTGATACAGGAGAGAAAATCTGTTCAGAGGGCCTTGATGCACCTCTTTCCCCCACATTCTCTGCAGATTTCTTCTAAGTGCTTGAAAAGAAGATTAACTGGGAGTTTGCTCCTTCTTGTGCCTGAAGGTCAATCAGCTTTCAAATTCAGATCCCAAGACAGCCAGGCTTTCTTGGGTTTGGTGCTATAATGACTAATTTGTTTGTTCTTTTGAGCCGAGTTCTCAGGAATGGAAAGGGAAAGGAACATACAGAGAAGAGGAAAGAAAGCATGTGGAAGTCTAAAATATACACATAAGAAGCAGAATCTTTTTCCTTTTGATAATCCAAAACCAAAGCTTGCAGTAGAAATTTATCTCTTACATAGGGAGAAAAATATTTGTGAATTATTTTAAAACTAAGCCTGTTGTTTGGATGCTCCCACTACAGTTAAACAAACAGCTTTGAATATTCTGGCAATATTGCCATCATTTGTTTGAATATTTATTCATGTCAGTTCTGGTTTGACCTCAAATAAAATTTCTGGGTTTCTCTTGCCAGGGTGAAATTAAGTTGGAAATAATGAAGGCAATATTTTGTTTTCATTTGACAATTTGTTAGCAAGAGTGAAGAGAGTAAGAGCTGGGGATCAGCTGCATCATGGGTTGTTTTTAGCTTCAGTGGCCAAGAAAGTCAGATGTTTTAGTTCAGATCCCTTGTCTTTCACCCTGCCACTTTTACCATCTATAACAACTGTGAGTATTTTATCATCTTACCTAATCGTTCTACCACCATTCACACAGTCTTTTCTTTGGTAAGGTAACAATGGGCATCAAGCTTTTTGCTGCGGTATGGTCTGCAGATCAACACTCATAAGCATGGGAGAGTCCTAATGAAAGGATTTCAGAGAATGGTCTGTCACTATACTGTCAAATCAATTATATGTTAAATTTTAATAGTCTAGTTCAGATGACAACTAAGTTTCTCCAAGCAATTATTTTTTTTCTCTTAATTAAATTGCATTTTAAAAACAGAGGATGTACATTCACTTGTCAGCTACCATGTTATTACAGATTTTTATTCACTACATAACTTTTGGGGGGTTTTTTGTCTGAGCAAATTTATAGTCATCAGCAAAGGAAGAGGATGAAATTCTTTTATCCTGCATTTCACTGGCTTATTATCAAATTATTATTGTCTATTAACGACTCAGAACTTGTGAGTGAAGAAAAAACCCGACACTATATTTTTCGTATTTATGCAGATGCCTTGGTATTTACAGTCAGATTTTGCAAGAAGTTAATTATCAGAGGAAAATAATTGTTTGCTTTACCTCACAAATTCTTCCCTATTTACAAGCTTTTGTTGTACTTTCTAAGCGTCTTGTTCTAAATTATAAAGTAAATCCCATGCTTCAAACTTGTCAAAATATACCTCCCACAGCCAACTCATCTTATGCTCTGTGAATTATGGATTCCAGTACATTCAACTAGGAAACATGCAACTCATTCATTGCATGTCCTTTGTAATCATGAGCTCCTATGGGCACTGTTTGTAAATTAGAGAGTTGGTAAAACTTGGAAAAAATATTTCTTCTTCTTTAACCATGCAAAAATTCTGTGCGTTTCACTCAAAGTTGTGGGGTATACTAGTGCTGGAGAAAAACATGCACTGGCACCCTCTCCTCTCCCTACCCTGTCCATTAATGGGTGCATGCAATGCACTTTGGTATAGGAATCATTCATTAGGAATGTCACAGTCACAGGCAGGTCCATATCTACAATAAGAGACTTTGGTAGATCACTCCTAAGGTACAGTGTGAAATTCCTTATGTGCCTTCCAAAGCTTTGGTACAAGCACCTGTCAAAGGCAAGAGTACAGATTACTTTGGCGACACTGGCTTAAGTTCATCCCTTCTTAATGCATTTCAGGGACTGTATTTTAGTTTATCTTTACTTTGTCCTATGAATTTCCATCAGCAGTTGAGTGCAGTAGGTGCTTTCTTTAGAGAAATACCATGATTTAGTTTCATCCAAAATTAATCCAGGTGTTGCGTTTGGACATGACACTTCTATTAAACTACGCAGCATGAGGACAGCTGATTTAGAGATTAGCAATATAGTTCTGATGTAGATGTACCTGTGCTGATGTAGATATACCAAGTGAGACACATCACCAAGTGAGACACATCAGTTGTCTCCCGCAGTAGGAGGCTTGCTGTGTTCTTCAAAAAGTAATAGAGGATGAAAACCTAATTGTAAGCATATATGTAAGTGTAAATTATGAAAAAAGTTAGATTTTTGAAAATTCTCTTGGAGTTTACAATACAAGGATCTTTCCTCTATCCAGTGAAGTATCTTGCTATTTAATGAAAGAGTTAAGATGTAAATATCTGCCAGCTGGATGTAGGTTATGTTTTTCAGATGTGCTTCTACAGTTAAGCTGCATTTGTGGTGATTAAAAAAGAAGCATATTTATGTCTTTGACTTATCTTTGCCAGCCAATGAAATTAGTTTATGAGTAGGTTCAAGGCTATCAAATCTGGCATGTCATCAGCATTGTAATAGCCTGCTTAGTGCTGCAGAGAGACTTGAAATAATGTTTCTTACTTACTTTGAAATTGAATAAAGCTGTGTTGAACTTTTTTTGGTTCAAATGCTGTGTTTAGGAATAATATAAATGGGTATTTCGAATTGTATGAAAACAATTGTGCAGAATTTAAGGGCCGCATGCATCACTAGTGTGTATATACCAGAGCCACTTCCTTTTTAATGCTGTGTATGTTTTTAGATTCCACAAATTCTTCATCCAGTTAATGAAGGTTTATGCTGTATTAAAATTATTAGCAGAGCTCTTCCCCTTATCACCTTCTGGAAGAACTTTAATTTGCCAAATGTGATTAGTGGAGGTGATTTTACAACCTAACACAAGGGAAAGTATGTCAAGAGATAGCATTAGGTTGTTTTGGTTGGACCCTCATTTTAAAACATCGAAACTACTTCCACTTTCAAAGTATTATGAGAGCTTTGCTAAAGGTGATCAAAATTTTTATTGTGGAACTACTTCCTTTTAACTTGTCTGTTTTAAAAAGCAACACAGTTTCCCTCTAAAATTCAGTATCATTCACTCTGCCTTCCAAACAGAACGGACAGCTCTTTTATGTGATGAACAATGGTGCAGAATAAGTAGACTAACCTAAGTGATAAATGATCCCGCTTCAGGTCTAATTCAATAGAGGTTTCCATGCAACAGCTGCAGCTGTTTCCATGAGAATCTGAAATAAACTTGCCCTCTATTGCTGCTGAGCAGTGTACAAAGTAAAGACTGATAAGTCAGGATCAGTATTTTAACTGAAGGTTCACATAGCTAAACTAACGGACAATATCCATTTCAGTTGAGAGGTGGAGTGAGCCAGTCTTCTGTGTGACTTGCAGAGCACTGTAACAGACCTGAAAATGTGAAAGACATGTTAAACTGGAAGGCATCTGCTAAATGAAAAATGAAAGAAGGATTTTTGAGAGGGATTTGTTCCAGTCCAAATTTTCGACTTAATGATCTTGAAGGTTTTTTCTAACCTAAATGATTCTGTGTTACAGATTTGCAAATCAGTATGAAGGGATCAGCTATATGGAGAGAGGTCTACATATAGACAATGTCTTCCCTGGAGACATACAAGGCCAGGCTAGATGTGGTTCTGGGCAACCTGGTCTAGTTGAAGATATACCTGCTCATTGCACGGGAGTTGGACTGGATGAGCTTTGAAGGTCCCTTCCAATCCAAACTATGCTATGATTCTATATAGTACAGGGCTCGCTTTGGTGTAATGATTAAAAACCATTGCTATGTGCACTGTTTCCCCTTTCTTAGCTGTGTCAATACTTGTAACAAGTATTAAGAAACTGGAAGGTGCCTTCACACAGTGTGGTGAAAGGGAATATGTGGAAGTGGGATGATGAGTGCTGAAAAAAAGCTTCTTTTCACAGGGAAAGATGAATGACAGATAGAGGGAAGCTGTAGTGAAACTCTTGAAGCCATGCATAATTATTCTGTAAAGGGAGCCCTCCACCTAAAGGAAGTGGGATTCCAATTAGAGTTACCCTTTCAGTAGCCAGCATGTTTTCAAGTTTGCAGAGCAACCTTTTCTAATGTGAGATATGATGTGAGGACATCTAAATCCACCAGCACCAGCAGTTGGTGGTGAAACAGGTACCTCCTGGCATTCTGGCCCCACTCTCACTCCTGCTCTCCACCTCTCTGTACCCCCTGGCAGGTCTCATCACAGCTGAGTCTCCATAGCTCTGTTTCAAGCTCAGGTTCTGAATGCTTTGCAAACCTAAAGGTCATTGTGTGTCTGTTGTTTGTTTTTTTTCTCGGTGTACTCTCTCCAAATAACCTCAGATAGCAAATATAAACAACCTTGACAGTTAAATTGTCCTAGAAATCAACCCAGAAATCTCTAGTAACCTACGGTAAGTGTCCTAGTTCCTTACTTGGTCATATGTCTCTGGAATGCCATTAATACAGATTGCCTGTGTCAAGCAATCTGCTTTTCGTTTAAAAACATCACAGACTGACATTCTTCACATGTAGCAAAAGTCTTTGCTTCCATTATAATTACATTTCTGTCCGTCAGCACTGATTTCAGTGTAATTTATATATTGCTCTGTTGCAAGGCAGAAATTGGTTTAGATGGTTCTATTTTCATATAGGTGGGAATTAGTAGAACTTTTATACAGATTATGGGGAATGTTGTACAAAATCTTCGGAAGTCAAACATTGAATATGATTATATACAGCAAATTATGAACTGGCTTTGGACTGTAAAGTTAGTATTTAAAGTGCTATGTTTGATGGAATGTAGAAAACCTCGTGAAACTAAGGGTAATTACTAGGGTTTTAGTGTGTTTATTTAGAATTACATCTCACTGGAAAGTCTTAAAAACAAAATGGAAACTATGGAGTGCTTTCAAAATGTGCATGTTGACAGCATGGAGATACACAAGGACCTAATGGTAGGAAAATGAGCTCATGCAACATGTGCAGCCATGAGGCTTCTCTGAACTTAAATCTGCATAGGCACTGCTTCTTTTCAAAATACTGGCATACAGTTCAGCTTAAATTCCACTTAAAAACTGATTAAATATTCATTTTTGGAAACCTGGAGTTTATTTTCTTTGCTTTTAATAAACCAGAAGCTCTGCTTTTAATCCTGTTATCGTCTATAACAACCATTAAATGCTTGTAAGCATGTCACAAGTTTCTGTGGATAAACCTAGTAAGTTTCTTGCATCTCCCTTGAAAGGAATAAAGTAATGTTTTTTAGGAACAGTATAATTTGTGAATCAGACAATTTGCTGCATATTTGATATTACATTACTGTTCTATTTTTAGGTATGCAAACTAATTATATCACACCAGGTATGATTTAAATATTTATTTTCAATAGCTGGTCTGGGCCCTACCAGTTTAGTGTACTGGTATTTGGAAGGTACTAGCAGTCACTGCAGCAGCCAGCACACTCCATGGGGTAACCTCTGGCCTTAACATAAAAGGTAAATATCACTAAAACTGTGTGTTATTCCATAATACAGAAATGCAGAATATCCCATTGCTTCTCAACTGTAATGCCCTCCAAATTTCCACTGAAATAACTGAACATTTTTAGTTACATTAACAGTCTAAGCCTAATCCAGCGTTATTTCATGTACAGTGCAATATTTCTCACTGTGGAGGTGGTTGAGTTATGTAAATGTTGGATCATTTGCCAGAGGTAAGAGTAATTGCAAATGTAATTGTTAATGGCAGGTTCTCCTAGGAATGTTAAGTATTGCCTCACTCAGGGAAGACTTCAGAGGAAAACAAACCATGTCACATCACTGCTTAGAACTGCAGGCGAGTCGAATCTTTCCCACCATTAACGTCAACGATTTTTCCCAGTTTCACATTTCTGACAATGCCTGATTAATGGCTATTTAATTTCTATCCCAAAGGGAATTTTTAAATCCTGATGGAAAATTGTAAATGAACAAAGTGAGGGGATGATTCTGGCCCTTTGGACCTGAGAAGTGTGTGTTTTCCCAGGGCAGAGTATGGCTCCTCAGCTAGGACACATCAGCATTTCTCATGCTGCACGGAGATGCTGACTCTCGTTTTGATGATTTCACCTGGGGAACTGCTACTTCACTGAAAAAAGAGGGAGGGCAGAAGAGGGAGCAGGATTCTAATGACCTAAAAATAACTGGATATTTGTCATGTGTGTTCATTCTAAAGAGGGAAAGAGTGAAATGAATTCTTTACAAGACTTCAAAGATGCTTTGTGACTAGAGTCAGGAAAAGGTTTCAGTCTATTTTTCTGTTATGTTTCTCAGACTTTTATTTCTGGGCACTTTTACAAAGTCAGGCTGAGCTATTCTAAGGAGCTGAGAGCTGCTGACTTCAAAGGAAGATAGTCTGAGACAAAAATTTCGGTCCAGGGAGCAGTAGGAGAAAGGAGCTTGAAAAGAGGCAGAAAATGGATATAGAGAACATTGAGGAAAAAATGTTGTATTTAGAGGGGGTGTAAAACAAAACTGAGGCAACAGGATATGTTTATGAAAGTAGTGAGAAGATTTCTTATTCCCTAACGTCTGTCTGGCAATTTCCACTGGCTGCTGTGTGCTTTTCCCTCTGCCCATCAGATGAAAACTTGCATGTAAATTTAGTGTAAATTTAAACTATTTGTCATGTGGGTACCCCCTTGCTTTTCCTATGAATGCACAAAACCCAAAATGACATTTCACCTGTAGGGCCTCCAGCACTGCTCAGAAAGAAAACACACACACACTACATGCAATTTGTTTTGGTACCTGAGCATAAGCTTTTATCGGGTCTTGGTAGAAGAGAGAATACTTAAACCCAGTAAATATGTAGTACTGTCTTTTGCCATAGATGGTTGGTGATAAATTGTCTTGACACTTGCTGGAGGCTCTGTAGGCAAAATTGTTCTGTAAGACATGCTAACTGCAGAAGATGTGGCACTTCACTCTACGTATTGTATTCTGCTTTGCAACTGTCCAGTGCATTTTGCTCATCTGCTTTTCCTCTAGGGAACAGCTCGTGGAATTACCATGAATTTATTCAGTCAAATAGATTCAGTCTTCCCGTGTTAGTCTGGCCTGCTGTCTTCACAAGGCATTCCTTTGAAACTGAAGGAAGTTTTAATTCAAGTTTTATTTTGGAGAAAATTGTAAAACTAGCCTAAAAAATAAACCAGATGATAAAAAAACCACAACCAACTATATTATAAAACTAACCTGGTAAATCTGCAGTTCTCGCACAGCCCACCCTTGAAAAAATCTCCTGTCCCAATTGCTGCTAAGAGAGTACCATGAATGGGACAGCCAACTGCCTGGGAAAGCATTTGCCCAAAGGTCATCCTTTAAAAGAGTAAAGATGAATGTGAACCGTGTTCAATAGTCATAAGGGATTTGCAGGTTGCTGGTTTTGACACAGAGGAGAGGTGTTGGTGTGGGTCAGAGGGCTGTTGGCAGAGGGATGGGCATGGGCAATGCCACATCCCCAGTCTGCAACCCACAGGGTTCTGTGGTGCATGTGCCAGCACATCCCCTCCAGTGAGGTGCTGAGGGACATCCAGAAGCTGGCAGGTGCATAGAAACCTTTTATGAAAGTCTAGCGCTGTTGATTAGCTGTTGCATTGCTGGTATGGATTGCAGGTATTTTGTTCCCTGGTTGCTGGCTAATTATGTCATTGAACTGCTTCAGGGTTGACCTAGTTTAAACTAAAGGAACTGAGCAGAATTGACTGACACATCAGTCATTCATGTTTGAGTTACAAGACACTGTTTCATAAATCTTGGTTTGCATACCTGTGTAAGAAGTTGTTCCCAAGTGCCACCAGGTGTGCTGAGGTGGACAGCAAGAGCGTTCTTGTATTACTGTTTCTTTTGAAGCTGATGTGAAACTAATTCGGAGCTTGAAGAGGGAAAAAAGAGAATGAGTTTTTCAATAGGTTAAAAAAAAAAGAATCTCATCTCACATCCAACTGAAGCTCTGAACATCAGCCTGCCCTTTTTGGTGATCAGAGGAAGACCATCCAGATTCAGAAAAACGCTCTACGGATTATTTTTTTTTTGTAGACAGTTTGGTTTTACATATATGAAATACAGGTCTCTGGTGAGGTTGTGTTGAAGTATGGGAGGCAACAGACATTGCTGATGAATGTGCACCAAGGAGATAATTGATCTTGTAAACTGCTGGACTCTAACAAACACAACTCTCACTTTATGAACAAAGGGAATTTCTTTCTGACATTTGCACGCAGAACCCCAGCTCCAGCAGGAGGTAAAATCTGTGATGCTGTATGTCTGATATTGGCCTTAGGAAACTTTATATCAAATGTTTCAGATATTCACTCTGCTTTTGTTGGGAAGTAAATTGGTTTTGTATTTTAACAGGGTAGCATGCAAGGTGAGGGACATGAAGACGATTAGTCTTCAGTGGAACAAGGAGATCTCACCACCTGTTTCTGTGTTGAATCAGGCTGTCTTAGAGAAGGGAACTGAGTATCAGACTGTGGCCTTCATCTCAAAGGTAATTGATGGGTTACAAGTTTTCTGAAATCGCATTGTAGAACACAGTGCAGCGGGGACATTAAAATCAGGGGAAAAAAATGAAGGTCATTTAGATCAGAAAGAGTAAACATGGCAATTTGATACACAGTGTAAAACTGTTAGAAAATGAATTGCAGCCTGCTTCAAACAAGGAACAAAATGATGCTCTTGCTGTCTATAGTGAATTTCCCCTTTTCCAAACCTTGATGCCTGTGCCCTGCTGTGGAGGTTGGGAATTACCAGTGGCAGGGTATGCTGCTTCCTTCCTCTTACCTACCAAACCTTTGCCCACTGAAAGGCAGCTTTTCGCTTGTCAGTGGAAAAGTCCTGGAGCGAAATGCACTTCAGCAATAACACAGTTGATGGAGGGAAAAAAAAGATGCCTCTGTACCTCATCTTTATTATTTTTTTTTTACCATCTACCCAATGGGAAAATGTTTATTTGTTTTAGTATGTCTCCTTCTGAGTAACAAGCAGAAAAGCACTTTCATCATTCATAATGGCTATTGTACTTTTTTGTGTGTGTGTGTCTGTGATATGTTCTGACTTTAATGTCAGTTATCTCAGAGATGAAATTATGGGAAATTGGGTCTGCAGCATCTGCAGCTTGCAGTGTGTGCTGTCACTGCTTTCAAGGGCTGCATTTCAAGTGAAAGCTACAGTGTTTGCTCTCCCTAGAAAGCTGGAACAACTGCAGTCTGTTGTTACACTCCAATCTCAGTGTGTAGAGATTCAGCCATTAAGCTCCTATCAAGGTTAATTAAAGTTCTGAAGGCAAAGGTTTGGAATGCAGACATGCTAGAGAGAAACACGTTTCCTCTACAGATTAAATACAAGTCAGTGGCTGGAGTTATTTTCAGCTCCCTGGTAATGCAAGTCTTTGTCCAGGTGATTTTTTTCTCACCAGAATAAGACTTAAACAGCTCAAGATGCACATTTGGTGAGCTGGGATCCTAGTACTAGCTGAAGACCATAAATTAACCAGGAGCTATCAGCTAGGAGAACATGCTCAAACAAAAAAATTACAATAAACTTTTTAACGATTCTAAGATATGCAGCAATGAGAAAGGATTTAAAAGATGGATAAAAATAAGCACTGTGATCTGAGAGCATTTGCATAATCTTTTAAAAACAAACTAAACACTTTCCCATTCAGTTTTTTCCCTTTGTTTGTCGAAATAGGGTGAATATTTATGAAAGTGTTTCATTTTTTGACAGTTTTACTGCACCAGCTTGGTCTTTCTAAAATGAAAGAGAAGATTCAGCATTTGAAATACCACAGAAGAAGAATATTAGCTAACTGGATGCTAACAATTTCATACAGATGTCTGCTTATCATGCAAATAGTTTATTTAGATGCAAAGACACATTAGACTCCAGTGATCAGAAAGTGAAAAATGGTAGCTGCTTCATGGTGATCCAGTGTATGTGATCTGAATGCCAGTGTGATTTCTCTAGTACATCAGATAGCAACACTGAAATAAGCAACAAAAATTAGGGATGTGCTAACTGTGTATACAAAGGAGGCCTGATTTCTAATATAGTGGGTAGTAGATGATGGGCTGCAAAAGAATAGATGCCTTTAAATCAGCAAACATTATGCAAACAGATGTTAACAAGACAAAGCATCTAATTTCATCTACTGTACTTTTAATTCTCCTACCATGCTGACCACATGCTTACTTCTGTATGACATTTAAAAGGAGGCCTCAGCTGGTGTATATTGTACGTTATAAGCCCTGATTTGCAAAAGGCCAAATGGATGCTCTTACTTTTGACTTCCAGAAAATAATATAGCCTTTAGCCTTTTGTAGAACATGAATGTGTTTTCATTAAAATCTTAAACCTAAACTGTTTCTTGACCTTTCCCCAATATCACACCTATTATTTTTCTCCCTAAATGATGCCCAAATCATAAACATTGATATGCCACTTTTATTTGTTACTATTCTTGACAATGACTTAATCATCCTTATATCTAGTGCAGAGGTCTTGCATAGAACTGTTGATAGATGCATGATGAAGAGGTCCTCCACTTAAGGATGTGTCATATAACTGTGTGTCTTATCATCACGTATCCTGCAAGAGAGCACTGTTCTCTGTGTGCTGAAAAGACCACAGAATGTTTCAGGGCCTGGAAAACATCTTTTCTTCATATTAGAGCATGTTATTTCTGAAGGCAACAGATGAAAGCAGAAGTCTTTTCTGTGACAAAGATGATCTTTTTACTAGTGCAAGTACCTGCAAATGGGGGAAAAAAGTAATTTATAAAGGCCTTTCTTCTATTTCTCAGTGGTTTTGTGTTGAAGGGGAGCACTCTACATGTCAGACTAAAGTGGGTTGTTCACATTGTTCAATGTAAGTATCCAATTTTGTTTTCTCTTCCTCCCCCATGATCACTGTCCAGTCAGCTGTACCAGTCAAAAAGGACAGCAGCATCTGAGGGTGCTTGTGGCCACATCCCAGCTCTGCACAGCAACACAGAACGAGGTATTTCTCCATGTGTCATGTTCATGTCTACCTCTGTAATGTTAAGAAGCAAGTTGCTATTGAAAGTCTGAATATATGATCTGGTCTGCATCACATTTCACTGATGTCCAAAGAACACAAATAACAGGTGGCAATTCTTCCTTTGTGTAATTGGACAGCTGGGGACTGAGCAGCAGAAAGGTACCACAGCTAAAAGATTTGTGTGGTCACTGTGTGCTGTTTTCTCTGCTTTTCAGAGTTGTTTTGCAGTTTGGGCAGTTGCTTAGGCCTTAAGGTATTAAAGTTTATATATCAATACTACAAATTTTTCTCCTTGAGAGTGGAAACTGGAAAGGAGGAAAAAGAGAAAAGATAATAGTCATGCCTTGTGGTCAGATTACCTTTTATGACTCCCTTTTGTTTATTCTGCAGTGTACACCCAGTATCAATTGCTTATAATCTCAGTGGAGGCTGTGTAAATCCATCAGAGAGAAAGTCTGTAAACATGATACAGTGATGTCACACTGTTCTCTAAATCAGTTTATCTTTCTTTTTACTCTCCTAGGTGACAGCGGTGATAAAGAATCCATCTGAGGCAATGTGTTGTCCAAGCACTGGTTGTTCTTACAGCATATTCATGTGTTTGAGAAGTGGATGACAGATGGATGACTGACTAAGAAACAAAGTTATTTATTAGGATGCAATAGAAAGATGTAAACTTTTATGTTCTTATGTCTTATTAGTGAGTAAAAAAGCATTTAACAAACATAAAATTAGGTTTATCCAAGGAGTTGTTGCTTATTGATTTATTCCTGTGTCATGGTTTAAACAAAGTCAGCCATAAATCACGCAGTCGCTCTCTCACTCCCCCCCTTTTTGCTCTCCCCCTGCTCCCGGAGGGATGGGGAGGAGAATCAAAAGAATGCAACTCCCACGGGTTGAGATAAGAACAGTTTAGTAACTAAGGTATAACACAAATCACTACTGCTACCACCAATGATAATAATGATAAAGGAAATAACAAAGGAAGAGAATACAGCACCTCAGCACCAGCCAACTGATAACTTGCCCCACCCCACCCGACCGATACCTCGTCCAACCCTGCAGTTCCTAGCCCTTCCGGGTAACCCTCCGTTACATCCTGGGCATGACGTGCTGTGGTATGGAATACCTCTTTGGTCAGTTTGGGTCAGGTGTCCTGTCTCTGCTTCCTCCCGGCTTCCCCTCCTCCCTGGCACAGCATGAGGCTCACAAAGTCCTTGGCCAGACCAAACATTTGAGCATTAACTAAAAACATCAGTGTTATCAGCACCGTTCCCAGGCTGAAAGTCAAAAACACAGCATTGCACCAGCTACTAAGAAGGAGAAAAAATGACTGCTACTGCTGAACCCAGGACTGCATGTTGAATACAGAAACTCAATAGCATTTAAAATTTGCATAGTTACTTTAACCCTCTGTGGCAGGTACATGACACCCTCCAAAGCAGCTACTAACACAGGTATAGTCTCATCTTATTTTTCTGAATTTATGCCCACAGAAGCCCTTGTGGATTTTACTGGGTTTGGGATTAGACTGGGAAGGTGTGGCTGTAACACCTCTTATCGATAAGCACATGAACGATGTTGCTTATCAGCATGTCTGAGAGTACCAACACAGACAGAAACATTTTTCAGAGGGAACAGATACTGTTCTCTTGACATTATTTCACTCTGTGCATGCCTATATATAATTTTCTGCATACTCCACCTGTGGAAGAGCTGTGCCTGTGATGTGATGGAGTAGTTTTTGCCCTGGTGAGAACATCTGTGTGCAGAAGTGAAATAACAGCAGGAGAAGCTACCTGCAGAGGCATGATTGCCTTAGAATCATCCCAGAAATGTTAAACTCACAGTTTCTGCCTTTATTTTAGCATTATTTTTGATTTCTATTTCTGTCCGGCTGTGCTTAGCCTGGCACTATGCACACCATGACTGATACTCTCTCACCTAAGTGCCAGCTTTTGCTAGGTTGGGTTTGAAAACCGTATCCATGGGATGCCTGATTGATTTAAGCAAAATTGTCTGGGATGCCAGACACCAGTCAGCATCAAGCCTGAGAGATGCTCTGTGTATGTGTCTGAACCGTGCGGATCCTGCCCTGAAAGATGGGCAAAAACAAGTTAATATTAAGAGAGCAGCATAGCAACCTCAGCCAGATTTTAAGTGTGTGGTGTTAAATATAGAGAAAGGTGACATCAATGAGTGTTTGGGGACACAAGATCAAAGAATGAATACCCTTGGAGAGCGAGTGGTGTTTCTGTCATTTCCCCTACTGCTGTTGGTAGTTTTCATGTCACATTGCACCTGCTGCTATAGCGATGCTTATAAATTTGGGATTAGGACCCATCCTCCTGACCCAGAAAGCTTAGGTTTAATTGAGGTAATGCAAATAGTCAATAAGGGAAAGGCCAGAAATGGGTTTTACAGCATCAGGTAATCAGGCTGGTGGAGAGGTGGTGAAGCGTGACCACCTTCTGCTGTCAACACTGCTGTTCTTTGGCAAATGTCTTTCTCTAGCAGGGACTTTTGTTGCATTTGGAAATCCTCATCCAGATATATGCTTGGGTTCACTGCACTGGAAACCTGAATGCTGGAAGTTACTACAGTTTTAATTGGCTTCACAATTTACATCAGATGTGCATTTATTTACTACCCGAGCCAACCAGCCCATAAAGAACCATGTCTGTCCCAAGTGACCTGATTAGGAGGAGGGAATGTGCCAGTAGAGACCAACAAAAAGCTAATTTTATCAGGGAAGCTTGTCATCAGAGCTTGGTGTGAATCAGAAGCAAATCACTGGGAGTCCTGCTGTGAAGCAGAACAAAAAATGACTTGGGCTTTGCTGAGATGGCTACTTGGGACTGGGGAAAGTACATTGAGGAGTGTGTTAGTAGTATTTGATATTTACTTAGAAAAGCTGAAAATGATCAGGCAGAAGAGCAGCAGAAGTGTTTGCTTAGCAATTTTTCTTCCAGTAATGGGCTGAGAGGCAGCAAAAAAAGGCAGAAGAGAAACTCCTAGAAGGGAATGTAGGTAGTTGCTGTGCTCAAGGCCGGGAAAGAGACAATTCTTATGTGAAGCAGCTAATAGAGGGTGGTTGAGGCACCTAATTTTGCCACTTAAGCACTCGCCCATCCCCAGACAATAGGAAATATTTAGGACTTCTGGGATTCAGCAGTCTTGTGTCCTTGTCAGGCATGGCAGGGATGGCATTTTGCAGTTGATGCTGTGAGATGTCTCTGCTTCTCTGCAAACAGTTAAAGCTAAAGCCTAAAGTCAGGAAGAACTCCACTGGCTGAAGATCTTTGAGGAGCTTATTTTGGTAAAAGCACGTGGTCACACACTCCCAAAGGATGGTGGGAGGAAGACACAGCCCCACTTTTGAGGTCATTTTCCCAACAAATTGGGTTTGCACAGGATGAATTCGGGCTATTCAAGATGGATTCTAGACACACAAATAGAAGACAGAACAAAAAGCCACCAACAGTGTAAGCACTTCTGGAGAGTGAAACCTTTACTATTCTAAAGGACAGATGAATATGGAAACTCCCTTGTAAAGATCTTGTGTTTCAGAAGATAATCCCCAAAATCTCCTTAAATCACACTAGATGTTATTGTCATGTGTCTCATGGGTTATCAGGGACTATGTCTTACCATTCAAGCCTCCCACAGGTTTTGTGCTTATACAGAATATGCATTTCAGTGCTGGGATTACAAAGAATTTTTGTTACAAACCATGGAAAATATCCTTCTACAAATAAATTCCTTGATCTCGAGGAATATGGGAGAAAAAAATGTCATTTCTTAATCAACACAATTGCCTGCTGAACTCTAGCCCCAGGAAGTTTGCTCTCATCAACAGAGGCTGAGCATGCTGCAAAAATTCTCATGAGGGATAACATAAGCCAACTAGATTGATGTCTCGTAAGCAAAATCTCTGTCCTGAAAAATGCTGTTTTCCACAGCATCCTGGTCCCAAGCGCCAGTGAGGGCACAGGGTGAGGGCTGGGTTAGGGTTAGGGTGGACACAGCCCTGTTCTCCTGTGTGCTGCTCTGTAGTGCTGAGCCAGCTGGGCTGGAGTAAAAAGATGCCTACTCTCGGAAAAGAGTCTTATAGCAAACTCCAAAGTCAAAGCAGAACCAACCAGAAGTCTAATTTCCAAATTATCTGAGACAATAAATAACCAAAACAATTCACACTGCAAAGCAATGTCACAATTATCTGAACTATCTGTACTTCAGTACAAGCCAGCAAAGTGAACAGAAATTAGGCATAGAAATAATTTGATTAACTGATACTCAGTTTATGTGGAGAGAGTGAGTTTCTCAATCCTTTGTGATAGGGTGTCTCCCTTTGAGCCACGCAAGCCTGGCGAGCTAGCAGTTTGGGTGCCTGCAACTCCCTACTCCCTCAGGTTATACAGAACAAAAGCACTTAGGGTCTTACCTCCCTCCTATGGCTTTTATTTTCCCTGGACATAATAAGGATATAAAGGAGATGGATTGCCGTTTAACTGCTCTGTGTATAAACACATGATTTCAGTCTGTAGGGGTTTTCCGTCAGGATCCATCGCACTAACCACACATTGAAGGGGAGAAATGCACACAAATGTGACCAAGCTGGTGAGAAAGTGTAGTGGCTCATTTATTAAATTAAGAAATAAAGTATGAAGTTTGTTTTGTTTTGTTTTTTTCTGGGAAGTGTGGCCCAATGTTGGCTTCTAAAACTTATGTAGGCACTTGCTCCGTAAGTGCCAACATAATGCAGAAAAAACAAGATGAGACCAGAATGTTTACAGCAGTGGTTCTTTAAATGGAGAAGTAATAGAAGTTGCAGTCTTTGGTGTGCTTATAATTTACTACTTCTTAAATAGGACACATCAACTAGGGGAAAAGAAATGCATATATTTCTTACTAATTTTGCCTTGAAGCACCAAAGTACATCCACTTGACAATGTATAGGGTTTTGGTTTTATTTATTGGTACTGCAAGGCAATGTTGTGAATGCAACATGGTATGAGCCATAAAAGTCATCTGTAAAATTCAAATTGCAAGAAGGTGCAGATGCAGTTTATACTGAAGAACATACCTTCTAATTATCTACATTATCTTGTTTGGCAACTCATGCTGGATCTCATATCTGCAGGTAGCTTTTAGAATAATTATAGGAATTGCATATACAGTCTCTCAGCACTTGAGGAATCCTTGTTATTTTGTGGATTTTTTTCCCCTTCCCTAACTGAAATATCTCTTGCTGCAACTTCTAACCATTGCCTCAGATCCTTTTTCCATGAATGTTTGATGTGCAACACTGTGCACTTTCCCAGTGTGTTGCATCAGAAGAAATCCTCAGTAAATTTGTTCCCATTCTACCAGTGACGGCATTTAACACTGATTCCAGTTTCAGATTAGTACATAAATTAAGTCTGTGGAGCTTTTTTACGCCTGTTTGGTTGGCATGGACTGTTTTTTTGTTCCTTACATGCTAGGTTGACAATGCCATTGGATGAATTATGGATGAATTAGGTTTATTATGTCCTTCAGTTTTCTTTCTACATCTTCACCTTCTTCAAATTTCTGAATGTTCTTTGGTTTCCAGATTCATGCTCTGGGTTCTGTAGGACTTTTTGCAGTTAGTCCTTCACCTCTAATTCTTCTGTACCCTTTACCCATAAAGAAAATGAAACTCAACCATAGTGTGTATGTCAAAATAAGTTTTGTGGCTAAAATAATTTTGCTGATGCTTTAGTTCTCTTAATGCTTTTTCTCACAATTTGCTGTGCATGGGGGTGAGTAGGTTCACTGCTGTGGAAGGAAAGTATGATGATGGCAATGGACCCACAAAAAGGTGTGAGTCCTCCTGGGACAGGTTTGGACTTGGAGCACAGACCATGCTGTTTGGTCCATGACCATCGCACTGCTAGAAGGAAACACATTCCTCTTTGATGCTCCTACCCATCCCCCTGCAACTCCTTTGCATACTACCAGTCTGTGTTCAGGGCAGCTGTAAGGCTGGAGAAAAGGGAGTGGATTAAGAAAATAGAGGCCTTTCTTTTTACTGGAAAATAAAGATGAATTCTGTGAGAGGGAACAGCTGGCAGGAGATTATAGCCAATAGTAGGGTGCAGCCAGATTTACAGTTATGGCTAAGTTACAGATGTACCTGTGAATTTATATTCTGCAGACAAGCTTTTATCGCTCTAATGAGAACCTATGTGCTCTATTGTGGAGCATTATCATAATGTTTGTTAATAAAATTGCATTGGTGGTTCTGCCTTTTGCCTTCTAGTGTGACTGTAGTGTTTTTATTTCGTTTAGCCGTATAACTTAGTCATGACGGTTGCTGATGTTTGCAAGCCTGTTGCATTTCAAAGAAGAAATTACTTCTGAAGAAACAAGCAGCTCATTACCCCTGGAACACAGCAAAACAAAAACTGTATTTTTTTATCTTGAGGCTCTTTGTATCTGACTTCTTCAAATGACTTAGATACCACAGTTGCATAAAATAAGCCACACCTGATACACATAAAAAATGGTTGCAGCCACTTCGTTTAAGATGTTTATTTACACATTTAAAAAAAAAACAACTGGAAGAATGTGTGCTAATTTTACATGAATTTGTTTTATTTAAA